ATGGAGAATGCCTCATTCGACAAAAACGGACGTCGGGTGAACGGCGGCAAGTGAAATTTTCGGCGGGGTGAAGACAAAAAATAAAAAATAAAAAAATAAAAGGAAAGTCGTGGGTGCTCCTTCAAAATCTTGAGTGCGGTTGTGCCTGTGCACATCTACACCGTTAATTTCGGGGTCTACTAGGTGGATGCCGAAAGGGTTGGAAATTTGAAACATGGAAGCACGGCGAGGTGTGCATCGCCAAGGATACCTAGGATTTGTTGCGTGGAATTCCGGCGGGTGTGGAGATGGGTGAACGTCAAAGCACCGCAAAAGCGACGGAGCTACTCGGCAAAAAAGACTTCGGGGCTTGTTGCCGCAAACATGATTTTCGGGCGAGATTTCCGCGGTGAAGCGTCTTCTCGCCAGTTGTTTAAGCGATTACGGTGTACTTCAGGAGTTACCTCGGGGTTCAACGGCGAGATCTGCGGCGTTCATTCGCGCTAGGGTTCGTGAAAATTGGTCTCGGAAGACCCAGAAGTACTGGGTTCCACGCAAAAAAAAACACCTCCTATTGGTGGGTCGCTTGGGTGGTTAACCGCACGAAAAAAATGGTGACCGGGTGGGCGTGCTAGAAACACTGGTTCTTTCGTGGGACAACCTGCAGACGATCAAGATTTTCGTGGTGTGTTTAATTTCCGACAATTGCGGGTGCCACGAGCAGTTCCGATAATGAGTCTTAACATAATCGGCGGGGTCATCGACAGTATCCGTGCCAGCGGCGGTGTTGCAGCGGGGCTTGACTAAGCGCATGAAGAAAGTAGCCATAAAATTCGGAAGTTGTTCGGGGAATTTTTTTGCAACGGGTGGGGTGAGAAGGCGACAACTGTTTTCGCCCTTGCCTAGAGGTTCTCGGCGAGTCACGACAATCTCGCCGAGATAGCTGACATCATCGACAGCTCAAGTTTGAGTTTGAAGAAATATTTCAGAGGTTAGGGGGAGGAGCAGCAGCTGTTTTCGCCTCTGCCAGGGGGTTTTCAGAGAATCGCGACAAAGGCCTCGGCGCGTCACGACAAGGTCGCCGGTGGTACTGATGTCATCCGAGCCTGAGTTAGAGTTTTCGATTGAGTTTCCAAGATTGACAATCGGTCAGTTACATGATCCGCCCCCCTTGTCGAATGTCGCTAATGTGCTACGACGACTTTACTATTTTCGCGACAGACTTCGACGACGAACGACAAACGATATGGAGTCACAGCACAAGAAATTATGGATGGGTTCGCTTTTCGGCAAGCGACAAAGTGGAGTTTTTGGGTGGCATCTGCTGACAGCTGAAGAGATGCTACAGAAATTGAGAATTTCGATTCTGCCACAGCAATACGACAACGGACTGCATATGCTGCAGCAGCAGCAGTCGCGACAAAAGGACAACATCAATATTTTGATCGCGGGAAACTCGCCCACGGGCTGCTGCCGAGTCCCTGAAAAGAAAAAAAAAATCCGATTTTCTTTCAAGGGACATTCGACAGAGTTTACCCTGAAGGCTCTTAACAGTCACCGTAGTGATATTTTGCCACCGACAGCAAGTTCGACAGCGCAAACAATAAAATTCACACGAGGGTCATAACACTTGGTATTCTGACACACCCTTGGCGTCTAGGGTGGTTTGGAGTTCATCCCCGCGCAGCTGCGCTACCTTTGGTGGGTTACCCTCTTTTTCAAGGGGGGGAGGAAGAGTGCTCTCGCACTGTACTTGGCAATTTTCTAACAGGTTGCGTTTGACAGATTCAGCACGATTGATGCTAGCGATGGCTTCATCGACATCGACGGTTCCCGATTCATCGACATCTAACATCGTGTCAGAACTCCCGCCAAGATCGCCAGCGTCACAACCGCCCGATCAACATCAACAACTGCGATTCCAACTCTTTTCAAATTCGCCTGGTCAAATGGTTAGCCAAGCGTCAGATCGCCTGGTCAAACAGATCAGGAACTCGATCATGCGTGTTCCACGTGGGTCACAAACTCGGTGGCTCAAGATCTTCTCAGGCGTGATGATTGGCTCTGTGGGCGGTCGTGTCATGCTGGCTGGGCGGTTGCGAGGCAATTGGCTGGTCAATGGGACGTATGGGCGAAGCAGGCTGACATGGAATGACGGGCTGACGTACCAGTCAGCAGGGAGGAGGAGATGGGCGGTGACGGGGGTGATCATGTGGCTGATGCGAAATGGCCCGCAATATCGGGGGCGGAGTTTTGGGGTGACGGGCAGGCGGAGGTTCAGGGTATCGAGGAGGACAAGGTCGTCGGGCTGGTAAACGACGGGGCGGCGGTGGCGGTTGGCATTGCGTTTAGCGATGATATTCGATTTTTTTTTTTTTTTTTTTTTACTGCGTCTGCTGCTCAGGTCCGTGCTGCCTGTAAAATTTCTGCAAACTGTTGCGCGCGTGGTACCGGGTTGTCGGAATTCGGGGTCACGGGTACCATGGGGTCTTGTACGTAGTTGAGGTAGAATGGCGATTGTTGGGTCGTGGCCGATGGGGACTTGTACGCGAATTCGATGAGGGGCAGTTTCTGTTCCCATGTGGTTGGGTCGTCGCACGTGGCTCGGATTAACTGTTCCATGGTCTGGTTTGTCCATTCCATCTGTCCGTCAGTTTCAAGGTGGTACGATGAGCTGAACTGTAGTCTAGTGCCGAACTGCTGCCACAGGTTCCGCCAGAAGTTGCTGGTGAATTTCGTGTCGCGGTCGCTGATGATCGCAGCCGATTTTCCATGTAGTCGGACGACGGTCGAGATGAAGAGCCGAGCTGTTTCTTCGACTGAGATTGATTTCTTGCAGGCTGCGAAATGCGCCATCTTTGTCAGTCGATTGACGACGACCAAGATCGCGTCGTTCCCACTTGTGACAGTCGGTAACCCCGTGACGAAGTCCATCGTCACCTGCTGCCAAGCACGCTCTGGGGGTGGTATTGGCTGCAACTGCCCTACTGGCCGCTTTCGTGATGACTTCATGAGCTGGCATGTGGGACACGACGCCACGCGTCGTTGCACGTCCGTCAATATTTCGGGCCAGTAGTAGTATCGCTGCAACTACTGCCGTGTTTTTTCTACTTTGAAATGGCCTGAGGTAACTGTAGAATTCCACTACTATAGCAGCTTGATAGAGCTCGGAAGCACGATTCCAACGCACCAAAGATTGTCAGAAATGGTCCACTATAGCTAGAGACATTTTCAGGACACTTGAATCAAGAGGTCTCCAGTTCAAAACTCGCGTGCACCATAACCAGCCCCTTAGCAGAAACTGTCCTGAATCTGTCCTGAGACACTTTCAGGACAGATTGAAGGTCACGAGTTCAAATCCCAGTGCCGGCATTTTGTTGCTCATGGTAGTATTTCCTTCTAACACGCCCCCTTACTGTCGTGGGGATGTGCTGCAGCTCCAACTTCTTCATGCGCACATATGTCTTGGAGCCACATGTGGCGACGGTCCACATGCTTCATGCGCCCCTGCAGCCCGCCCGCCTGGCTGAGCTGCACCGCTGACATGTTGTCGACGTACAGGGTGGTGGGAACACCCTTCTTGAGCAGCTGAAACTCCTACAGCAGGAGCCTCAGCTTGCGCCCCTCCTTTCCCGCTTCCACCCGCAGCCACAAGCTCGCTCTCGGTGGAGGAAAGTTTGGTCGCACCCTGCAGCTTCTTGGCTTGCCAGGAAACGGCAGCTCCGACGAGCTTGAAGAGGTAGCCTCCCGTGGACGACTGGTTCTCCTTGTCGCCCGCATCATCCGCATCCGAATACCCCACGAGGTTCAAGTTCTCTGGTCCTCCCTTGAACAGCAGCCCCATGTCCGGGAAGGCAGCCCAATAGGAGAGTGTGCAGAAGAGTTCATGCCAATGCGCATCCGTCCTTAGGTGTGCACCTGCTGCAAGGCGGCTGCACGCAAAAGAGAGGTCAGGACGGGTTGAGATGGATGCAAACTGCACCATGCCGAGTGTTCACAAGTACCCGGTCATGGTTCAGTCGGCAAATTGCTCGGCATCCTGCTTGGCAAAGCTGGCAGAAGAGAGAGGAGTGATCGGCTGCTTCTTCGGTGGCGCCCCCTTGAAGAACCGCTGCTCCACCTTCGCCACGTACGCATTCTGGTGCAGGAGGAGTGTCCTGTTGGGGCGGTCGCGCACAATCTGCAGCCCCAGGTAGCGCTCCACTGGCTCCGCCTCACGAAGCTGAAACGCCTTGACCAGCAGCTCCTTTAGGTCCTGCAGCAGCTGCTTGTCTTCACTTGCCGCTAGCAGGTCATCCACGCAGATTAGCAGCCACATTCGCTTCTCGCTCGCCTTATCCTAGTAGAATAGGGACTGGTCCTTAAGGCTCTTCCTGCACCCCTCCACAAGGAGTACCTTGTCCAGCTCTTTGTACCACAGAAGACTGGGGACTCTGCTTGAGTCCGTAAAGGCTCTTGTGCAGGAGGCACACCTTGTTGCTACCGTCGGTGAAGTAGGGCGGCTGCTGCATGTAGATCTCGTGGTCGATGGTGCCGTGAAGAAATGCATTCTTCACATCAAGCTGCAGCAAATCCAGGTCCATAGCTGCTGCGATTGAGAGGAGCACGCGAACGGTGGTGTAGCTGCCAACAGGAGCGTTGGTGTCATCGTAGTCGATGCCGAAGGGCTGGCTGAAGCCCTTTGCCACGAGCCTGGCCTTGTACTTCTCCACAGTGCCATCAGGCCCCAGCTTCTTCTTCAGTAGCCACTTGACGCCGACTGTTTTGCGACCTTCGGGTAGGTCGGCCAACGACCAAGTGCCTTGCTCATCAAGGCTCTCCATCTCCTCCTTCATGGCAGCCCACCATTCCTTGCCATCAGGTCCGGTCAACGCAGCTGCCAGGTCGAGGATGACACCTCCCGAAGCGCCTTCTTCCTTCTCATCCTCGTTCGGGTACTCCACTTCGTCATCGCTGTCCGTGTCGCAGTCGTCCATTGCAAGGTACACTATGTCATACAGGTTCTCCACGTCGTCCACATCCTAGGCCGTCATGGCTGATGGCTGAAACCGTATGGGTGGCACCCCCTTGTTGGGCCTGCTGGAGCGACGTGGGGGTGTTGGAGTGGGCTGGATAGGGGGGACTGCATGTGAAGGCTCATGCTCATGGGCCGCCGATGGCTGCTCATCCACTAGTACCTCTCGTTCCTCCTTATGATCAGCCGTGTCACCTCCGTCCTCAAGGGGACCGTCCTCTGGTCCCATGGGCGCCGAATCAGCAATGAAGAGTGGACCGAAGAGGAAGAGGTGCAAAGGGTGCCTTGCTTCCCAAAGGGCCCAACGAGCGATCAAGGGGTTGCTCGCCCCCTTGCACGGACGGTTTCGGGACCACGATGACTGTACGAGGTGGCGGCAGAATCTGCTCGGGGTCGTGGGGCTTAAGAAAGAGAGATGGGACTGAAGCAAAGGGTGGTGTGGGCTGGTCATTCTGGTCACCCACGCGTGTACTCCACTTCTGCCACCTTTCAAGTGACATGTCCTGATAAAACCGTGCATCCCGGGTGATGACCATGCGTTTTGACTCAACATCTACCACTAGCCATCCCTTGCTTTCCATTCTCATGCACAAATGCATGCCCGAATGCGTCTTGCTTGCAAGCTTCCCCTCACGCTCATGCTCAGGAATGAGGTACTGCACCATGCACCCAAACACACGGGCCATGGACACATCAGGCTTGACTTTGTACATCATCAGATGAGGGGTCACACCATGGGGCAATGTGGATTGGTGCACACGATTCACCACCCACAAGAACTGCTGGAACGCGAAGTTCCACCAGTGTGCTTTCACCCCCATGTGCCCCAACATCACACGCATGCCCTCGGTTACCGTACGATTGCGGCGTTCAGCCACATCGTTCTACTGGGGGGTGGAGGGGCAGGAAAGTTGATGGAGGATTCCTTGTTGCTTCAGCAGCAGCAGGAACTCGTTCGACATAAACTCCCCTCCTCAGTCCGATCGCAACACCTTTAGCACCATCCCAGTCTGTCGTTTAGCTTCGGGAAGCCACTCCTTGAAGGCAGCTAGCGCGTCGCTCTTCAGTTTCAATTTCTTCCCCCAGGTGTATCGCGAGGCATGGTCCACGAAAAGGATGTAGTACCTGCTTCCATCCATGGCTGTGGTCTGAAATGGACTGCACACATCAGTATGGGCCAGCCTAAGAACTTGCTCCTCTCGCTCGTCGTGCAACGGAAATGATTCGCGAGTAAGTTTGGCTTCATGGCAGGAGGTGCACGGCATATCCTCACCTCCTTTCTCCAGGTCCATGCCTAACACGCCACCGCTCGTGGCAGTCCGCTTCACCGCATCGAAGTGGACGTGTCCAAGGCAAGCTTGCCACTGGTTGAACGTTGCCTTGGAGCCCACCGCATATGTCTTGAGGCTGGCCGCTCCGTCCTTCGTTTCCAGCTTGCTTGACGCCACTTCAACAACCACCTTAGTCATGCCATTGCATGTCACTGTAGCCATCGTGCCGTTGCTTGCCGCTCCAGCCGCTGTGCCGTTGCATGCCTCTACAGTCGTCGTGCCATTGCATGCCGCTGAAGCCACTGTGCCGTTGCATGCCGCTGCAGCCATCGTGCCGTTGCATGCCGCTACAGCCGTTGTGCCGTTGCTTGCTGGCCACGGTTTCAGGTCAAGGCAGAGAAGACGATGATGGTAGCGTGCCGTTGCAGCCACTTGTCCTCCCGATGAGATAATGTGAGTGACACCTTCTTCGGTTTGCAGATTTGCTCCTTTGTCCATGAGCTGCCCAGGGGAGACCAAGTTGGCCTTCATTCCTGGCACAAAGAGGACATCATGCAGGGTCACGCGCAAGCCGTTAGTGCCCTCTAGCAAAACCTCACCAACACCGGCAACTTCTTGCATAGAACCATCAAACCCTTTGACGGATTTCATTGCAGGTGAGTCACGTATCACCATGAACCACTCCTTGCGACCAATCATGTGTTGGGAGCATCCCGAGTCAAGGAACCACAAATCCTTATTGTCGGCCAGCAACTTTGCAGCCGAACACGCGACGGTGAGCGCCACGCCCTTCCCATCTCCTTCAGCTACGTTCGCGACCGCCGCGGGCATTGCATCCTCCTTGTTGGGGCACTTGACATTCATGTGCCCCTCCTCATTGCAGTTGTAGCAGCGCCCCTTGAAGGGGCCTCGCTTCTTCTCCCGCTTGCCATCCTTCTTCTTGTCGGTCTGCTCCCTTCCTCCCTTTTCTTCCTTCCTGTTGACCCCCGTTGCAGCCACGATGGTGTAGACCGCGCCCGAGAAAGCAGATGTATCACTGGTGATATGCTTGTAGCTCTGTTCGATGGAAAGAGGCTGCTCCTCCATCAACACCTCGCTGCACACACGTTCCACCGTCATGTCAGGGCTGGCAATGTCGAGCTTGCGGCGAAGAAACCCGTACCCCGGTGGTAGGCCCTTCAGCACGTGGGCGGCAAACGTGGCCATGTGGATCTCCTATCCAATGGTCAGCAGCTCCGCTCGGATGGTGCGGGCCCTATTGTAGTAGGATTCCGCCATCTCATCATCTCCCTTCCTGAGTTGGGCTAATTGGGTCTGAAGTAGGGAAGCGTGGAGGGCATCACGAGCTTGTTAGATAGACAAGATATATGCCCATGCTAGCTGCCAAGCTTTCTCGTGGTGAGAGAAACCAAAGATGGACATTTGGATGGGTGGAGAAACACAGCAGTTCAACACCATGAATGCAAGCATTTGGCCCTTCACGTACTCCCTTCGTTGCATGGGGTTGTTTGGGGCTGGGCTCGGTGCTGTCCCGTTGCAAAACTGCCACAAATCAGCGCATTGGAGCTGAGTTCGGATGGCGGTGACCACGCGGTGAGGTCGTGCCTTCCCTCCAGCAGCAGCGTCACGAAGATGTGCTCTACTCCAAACTTGAATTGGCCATAGCTCGTCTCGATCATTCCCGTGGCAATGGTCGGTGCAACAGCTCCTCCACCAATGCCCACGGCACCAGGAGCCTCGTGCACAACTCCTCCTTTACCGGTTCCTCATTGCTGGTTGCTCGCAGGTGCTTGCTCTGCCGCGTGCTCCCTAACCATGCGTAGTAGACAACCGTCCACAAGAAGGTCTATCACCTCATCACGCAAGTTAGGTCGGTGCTCACGAATTGACGCCTCCAGCTCCTGACGGGCACTCAAGCCCTCGGCACTCGTTAACTACTTCATTTGCGGTCAAAACGAGCGTAGGCCACACCAACGTAGGAACGAAGTGACGGGAGGACGGAATCAAGCCGCAAGTTGGATCGACAAAGATAACGCAGCTCTGATACCATGTAGAATTCCATTACTATAGCAACTTGATAGAGCTCGGAAACACGATTCCAACGCACTAAAGATTGCAAGAAATGGTCCACTATAGCCAAAGATACACACAAACATAGCAGTATTAATGACTTTGTTGGTTCTGGTTTGTGCTCTCTGGTTTTACACTAGGACGCGATGCAAAATCAAAGACACAAGAAAGTGTCGCGCGCTGAATTTCGTCGACGCGAAATTTTGAGCCTCGAATTTCGCCGGGCGAATTCCATTGACTGGAATTCTGTAGACGAGAATTTCCGTGACCTGAATTCCGTCGACCACCGACTGTAACTCCCGTGCGAATTCCGTTGACTTCGACACTTCGCTGTCGAGTGTCAAACCGAACGCGACCCGAGATCAATTTCACCAAGCTGTCCTCAAACTTTCCCCAAACTGTCCTGACAAGACACTTTCGTGACACTTGAATCGAGAGGTCTCCAGTTCGTAACTCGCGTGCACCATAACCATCGCCTTAGCACAAACTGTCCTGAATCTGTCCTCAGACACTTTCAGGACACATTGAAGGTCACGAGCTCAAATCCCAGCGTCGACATTTTGTTGCTCATGGCAGTATTTTCTTCTAACAGTAACTCCATTGTGTGCCTCCTGTAGCAGTAACTCCCGTAGTAAGGTGTAGCCCGGTACTCGGATGTGGTTAGTACCGGTTTTTTCGTAGTAAACCCGTTTTGCTGTTGCGAACTGCTGCGAATTTCCTCCTGTGATTAACGGGTATGTCTGATAGCCGAGGGTAAATAGTCTTATGAGCAATGGGCTGGTCTGGGCTGTTAAACTGTATTATGCTTGTAGGCTGTAGTGGGGTAGCCAATATGGGGTACAACCCCAACTAGGGTTTCATATTTGTACCCAAACTTCTGCTAGTTCAATCATTCTTGCCTAGCTATTCTGATATGGTATTCAGAGCAGGAGGTCCCTAGGACCTACCGACCGTTTTTTTTTTTAAGGGCCCACCACCGCTCGCATGCGGTTACCACGCTACCCCGTGCCCTAGCCTCGTAGCGCCCTCGTGCGCCCTCGTTAGCGCCCTCGCGCGCCCCTCGTTAGCGCCCTCGCGCGCACCCTCGTTAGCGCCCTCGCGCGCCCCTCGTTAGCGCCCTCGCGCGCCCCTTGCTAGCGCCCTCGCGCGCCCCTCACTAGCGCCCTCGCGCGCCCCTCGCAGTGTCGCCCGCCCGCCGAGCCGCCCGCTCGCAGCCCGCTCGTCCTGCTGCCCGCTTCGCAGCCCGCCCGCCCGCTCGCTGCCCGCTTCGCGGCCCGCCCGCCACGCAGCCCGCCCGCCCGCTCGCTGCCCGCTTCGCGGCCCGCCCGCTTCGCAGCCCGCTCGCTCGCTGCCCGCTCCGCGGCCCGCCCGCTTCGCAGCCCGCTCGCCCGCTCGCTGCCCGCTTCGCGGCCCGCCCGCCCGCTCGCTGCCCGCTTCGCGGCCCGCCCGCTTCGCAGCCCGCTCGCTCGCTGCCCGCTTCGCGGCCCGCCCGCTTCGCAGCCCGCCCGCCCGCTCGCTGCCCGCTTCGCGGCCCGCCCGCCTCGCAGCCCGCTCGCCCCGCTGCCCGCTTCGCGGCCCGCCCACTTCGCAGCCCGCCCGCCCGCTTCGCAGCCCGCTCGCCCCGCTGCCCGCTTCGCAGCCCGCCCGCCCGCTCGCTGCCCGCTTCGCGGCCCGCCCGCTTCGCTGCCCGCTCGCAGCGCCGCCCGCCCGCCCGCTACCTGCTTCGCAGCGCCGCCCGCTGCCTCACTGCCCGCTTGCTGCGTCCCCTCTGCTGCTGCCGCTGCTCTGCTGTGCCCTCACGCCTGAGCTATGGCCTCTATTCGCGTTCTTTCCTTCGATGCTGAGGGCCGTCCCGTGCAGTTCACTTCCTGGCTCGACGACCTGCAGTTGTATCTTATGAGCAATAGCACGGACCACATCTCCCTCTATGACTACGCGTCTGGTGCTGCCGCTGCTCCTGCTGCCACAGCCGAGCTTAGTGTTCGTTCCCACTGGCAGACTCGTGACGCAGCTGCTCGCCTAGCCATTCGTAGTCACCTGCCGCTAGCTGAGCTCGAGCATTTTGGCGACTGCAAATCCGCTAAGGCCCTGTACGATGCTGTCGTTGCTCGCTACTCCTCGCCTGCCACAGCCGAGCTTAGCCGCCTCATGCTGCCGTACCTGTTCCCCGATCTGTCCACCTTTACTACAGTCGCCGATCTTATCACCCACCTTCGCACTAGTGATGCTCGCCTGCGTGCCGCCCTTCCCACCGAGTTCTGCGCTAAGAACCCCCCTCCACTGTACTGGACACTCCACTTCATAGTCACCCGTCTCCCTGACACCCTCCGCTCAGTTCGAGACCACTTCCTTGCTCGCTGTCCCACTGAGCTCACAGTCGCCCTCCTAGAGGAGCAGCTGCTCGCGGCCGAAAAGAGCATTGTAGCTGTTGGTGCTGCTCGTGGCGCTCCTCGCACCCCCATCTTTGAGGGGTGTTCTCCCTCTCCCCTCGCTCCCTCCTACGCTGCTGCTGCTGCTGTTGACTTCCTTGGTGCTGAGTCTGTTGGCGCTGCTTCTGCTCCTGGTGGGAGGCGCCGCACCGGCAAGGGCAAGGGGGGCAAGGGTGGTGGTGGTGGCGCTGGGGGGGGAGGAGGTGGGGGAGGTGGGGGGGGAGGCGGTGCTGGAGGGAGCGGTGGCGGGAGCGCTGGTGGGAGTGGGGTCGGTGGTGGAGGCGGGGGCGGCGGCGGAAGCAGTGGCAGTAGTGGCGGCGGCGGCGGTGGCGGCGGTGGCGGTGGTGGCGGTGGTGGCGGTGGCGGTCGGAGCGGTGGTAGTGGTGGCGGCGGCGGTCGGAGTGGAGGCACTGGCTCGGGCCAGAGCTCCCAGCAGCAGCAGCGTCCCCAGACGACCCAGCAGCTTCGTGAGTGGCTTGCTCAGCGTGGGACGTCGGGGGGCAGTGGCCGCTGTTCTTATGTCATTCGCACAGGTGACCGCAAGGGACAGACGTGTGGGAGGTTCCACACCCCGTACCGCTGCTTCTCCCGCCTTGACGACGCTTGGCGTGAGGAGATGGGCGCGGATGTTGAGCGCCCCCGCTGGGCTGAGCTCATGAGGGCTGGTGTTGATGTCTTTGCTCTTGACTATGATGCTATTATTGCTGCCATGTATGCATTGACTGTTAGTGCCGAGGGAGACTGTTACTTGTGTGTGCCGCCTGACCCAGGTATAGAGCCCGCTGCCCTGGGTACTAGTGAGTCTGCTCTCTCTGGTATGGTGCCCCCTGTACTTGCTCCCCCCAGTGCTGTCCTGGCTGGTTTCGAGTCTGCTCTCTCAGGTACAGCACCCACAGAGACTGCTCTCTCAGGTACCGCACCGGCTGAGGCCTGTCACACCTTCACCCTTGACTCAGGTGCTTCCCGTTGCTTCTTTCGTGACAGTACTGAGCTCACACCGCTTCCTGCACCGGTCCCAGTCTCCTTGGCTGACCCCTCTGGGGGCCCAGTCCTTGCCCAGTCCACCACTGTCCTCCCTTGTCCGGCGGTTCCGTCTGGCTCGTTGTCGGGTTTCCACCTCCCCTCGTTCTCGACGAACCTGGTGAGCAACGCTGTCCTCCAGGATCAGTGGGTTGACACCTTTACCCCTGGCGGACAGCGTGTGGCGATCTGCACGTGCTCCAGGACCGGCCGTCACCTGGCTACGTTCACCCGTCGACCGGGGTCGAGTCTCTACACACTGACCACTGCGTCTCCTCAGGTCGCTGCTGTCGGTCAGGTGTCTGCGTCAGGTCTGGTAGCCCACGCCTGTGAGTGTCGTTCCCTGTCGCACCAGACTCTTCTCTGGCACCACCGCCTGGGTCACCCCTCCTTGCCACGCCTTCGTGGCATGCACCGTCGCCACCTTGTGTCTGGTCTTCCCAGGTCCCTCCCTCCCCTCCCTGCCTCGCCTGCGCCGCCTTGCCTTCCTTGTGTCGAGGGGCGGCAGCGCGCCGCTCCTCACTCCTCCTCGTTCCCCCCGACAGAGGCTCCTCTGCAGACCCTCCACCTGGACGTGTGGGGCCCAGCCCGCGTTCGTGGTCAGGGCGGTGAGCGGTATTTTTTGCTGGTTGTCGACGACTACTCGCGTTACACCACGGTCTTCCCCTTGCGCACCAAGGGTGAGGT